CACTATACGCACTATACGTAAAGTATCGTATAGTGTCGTATAGTGTTCAACTATACGCTATTTGCCCATCTCTAACCATATCATTGTCTTTTTGATCATCATCACCTTCTTCATTTCCAATCTCAACCGGGTTACCTGATAGATTTTTCAACTGAATACAAAAAGATATGCATGAAAATAAAGTCTATAATGTTTCTTTGACTTAAAAAAAGCTCTGCATGAACCAGCTTGCAAGCCAAATGATTTAATAAGTTCACACCATCTTCCAAACCAAATAAGTTGTCAATAAGTCATCTAGCTCTCATGAAGAGCTTTGTTACCTTTTTATGTGCATATAAATATTTATTATTCCCATTTATTTCCTAATAAGTATATTAAATAAATTCATGAAGTTCAGATATTTGTTAATGTAGCAAAGCATTTGGTTGACATGGATAATGATAAAGAAAAGAAAGAATACCCACATTTTGATTCAATATATCATCTTTTGATGTGGAAATTTTTTTCTGGCAATCTAATGTGGTTTCAAAATGATATACCTAATACAAATTAATCTGACAGAATCGCGTAATCATCGAATATTATTGTGTATTAAATTTGTTCACTTTCAACAGATAGTGACATGCTTACTTTTGCGAATTCTTCACTATTTGTTACAACTGCTGTTGTTTGGTCTGTTAGAATACTTTTTCTTACATTTTGTTTATAATGATCCTATATATATTAAAAATTCCCAAGTTAGTATTTTATTAAAGCAAACAATAAATAATTTTAACAAACCTGTGCAAACTTAACATCCAGGTTGATTAAAAATTGTTTTATTTCAGGTCGTTTTCGATGTGCTTCCAAGTTATCAGAAAGCTTAATTGCCTTGTTTCGTGCTGACTTTGTTAGATTTTGAAGTCCACTTAGCAGTTTCAATTGATCTTTGAATACTAAAATAATATCATCTACATCTTCATTTGTATATATAATAATAGTCGCCAGATATTGTAAAAGTCTTAAGAGATTCCATTTCGCAAATTCACTGTTATCAAGATAATGTTTTATATGTTGTTGTAGATCCATTCCTATGTATAAAGTTGAAATGATAAATGTAAACAATTATATAATAAAAAGAAATAGCTGGCTTGGCATAATGTTTTCTAGTAAAAAGATGGAGGAATTTTCTCAGTGAGGAGGTCAATAAACCGCGACAAAAAGGGCATCCTCTACAGTTCCCTATACTAAACAACAAGCTGCAAGAGCTGCCAATCATAACTACTTAGCTAGCGCAATACAGGAGCTGGAAACAATATACCCAATATACTAGAGACAAAGATCAAGGTGTCTGCTACAATAAGGAAGTCCAATAGGATGGTCCTCGATAAAGAGGGTAACCTCAATACCTTGCTCTAAACAACAAACTGCAAGAGCTGCCAAGCACAATTGCTTAACTAGCGCAATACAGGAGTTGGATATTGTGGGTCGCCAGATGTAATTAATGTATATTTTATACTCGCCTTAATGGATTGTCTTATAGAAATTGTTATATGAAAAAAACAATGATGTATGGTTATACACGTTAGCATAACGTCTGTGATAACATCATACATAAAATTAATTTTTATTGGTTAATTCGTAATCCGTGAAACAACTGCAAAAATTTGCCGATCATTAATATAATTTTCAGGAGTTTTGAGAATCTGAAATTACCTCACGTGACCAACGTGAGTCAAGAAAATTACATGACCACGATAATTTTTATTTTATTTTAAAAAGAGTAACTATTAAAAACTAAATAGAAATAACATATTTATATTTTTCTTGGATAAAATTAATTCTACAACCACTTTTACATCATAAATATTTTTAGTAACCTTTAAATTTTACGCTACATATAAACATAAAATATTTTATAAGAAAGTCCCTTTGAAAATTTGTATATTTAAACTTCGAGATTCATATCATGTGTTAAAAGTACAATTTTAGTTTATACCAACATAAAGGGTGGTTACGTTGGAGGTGAAAGTTGGAGTCCAGAAAATTTTAATTAGTGATCTGCGCCAAATTCTGTTATGAAAATTTTTGCAGATGACTTTCACGGATTACTAATCTTATATTACAGATTTTTTTTATTTACAAGGTAACTGCAAAATTTAACATTAAAAAAAATAAATGTAAATATAAATATAAATATTTATCAGATTATATTGGAATAATGTCCAATAAAACTAATGAAATAAATAATGAAGAATTTGCAAAGGAAAGTTCCAATTATTGATGATAAAATGAGTCTATTGAACTGTATGTCAAATTTTTTTTATAATGATAGTGAAAATGATATGCATTAAAATAACTTGCAAAATTATCTTGAAATTCATTAAATTAATTATCAGGTATCCTACCAAAGCCATTTGTAGAATTTAAAAATTTCAAACAACTTACAGCCAACCTTTCCAAATGCACCCACCTCAGGAATATAGTGCTATTTCTTATGAACGTGCATTTATGGAGGGTATACATAGTGCGTGTATTTAAGGAGGATCCACTTGAGGGAATTGGCTGTAGAAAGATACAGCATAAAAAATGTTTATGAAGCAATAAATTGGGAACCAGAGAAGGAAGATGATTTATATACACCCAATAATGAATGTTCTGCAAAGAAATGGTTGGAAATAAAACAGGATTCACAAGTGATGTTAATCAAGAATTTGAATAGATCATTAGTAAGATGTAAAACTTTTGCATTTTTATAGATGATTTTGATGCTTATTTTCGAGTAAACTTGAAGAATTTAAAATAAAAGGTAAGATTAAAATTAATTTCTATTTCCTTGAGAGTTAATAAATCTGTATGTTTCTAAGGTTACCAATAACATTCATTAATAATAAATATAAGATATATATGGCAATTCGGTTTTGCTTTTGACATTTCCTGTAGTTATCTTATTTACTACATCCCATTAGGGTAACATCAGTAAACAAAGATATAGAAATGACTAATTAATAATTGATAAGGGTATATAGAATAATAATATGAATAATATTTAATGATATCTTGTATTGAATAAGTTATTATAATAACGATATGGTGATAATAATAGATAGACAATTGTGTCTTGTTATATATTTAATATTTATGAATAATAAATAATAATGGATTAATAATTTAAGCACCCCGATCTGTTTTACCAGCATTTCCAGTTACAATTTCCAATACATTGTATAAGAGATTCTCTATATGCTCCTTTTGAACTATAGTAAAATCTTCACCCAATATAATTTCTTTTAATTATTCTATATAAGCCTGTGGATAAATATTAATATCACTCAATAATAATGAATGATAAAGATAAATGTAAATTATTTACAAACCATGATGTCTAAAAATCTTTGATTAATTTTGAAACATCATCATTCATTCTCTAGAAAATATAAGGTTGCTACAATAAAACAGCCGTTTCACCAACAACACCGAAGGAGACATATCCCCTCAGGTTTTACAGAATCTTAGATTATTTTGCTGGAAATCGCTATACAACTATTCACTTTACAGCAGGGAAAATGCCAGATTTGCAAACTACCATCTAACCATTCAAATCAATTTATGCAGAAAATTTTTTCAATTTTATGTTACATGGTGAATCAATCATAAAAATTTTATCAATAATACTAATTATTAATAAGAAATTGATTGCTGAAGCTGTACAATCAGATGAATAAGAAATTTTTATTTTTAATCATACATAAAAAAAATAAAAAAATGAAAATAAAAAATTATTGAACGACAACAAATAACAAAGAATAAAGAAAAACTCAAGAACACAAACAGTTTGAATAGTGGTCGTTTACCTTTAAGCTCACGCTCAGGCAGATCGAAGATAAGAAAGCATTAATCATCATCGCAAATTGTTTACCCCATTTCGATTACCCCATTTCAATTGGTTGACAGTGGTGTCTTTTTCTATTGTTATGGTTCGGGTGAGACCGAGATATTTGTTATCACGAAATTCCTAGTTAGCATCTTAATAGAGTCAACAACAACACTGATAGTTTTTTATTTCTTATCAATTAATCACACAAACCTATTGTTTATTAATAACACGCGTACATATACTTCGCCATTAACCTTCCCGTGGTTCAAAGCATTGTGTTGGTGTCAAATGTCAATACTAAAGAATCCGGGCCCACGAATCCTTTGAATATAATTGGCTTAAATCCCCATTCTCGATGTAGACTCCGTTGCTTTATTGACAAACAAAAGATGATAAGATTGAACTTGTTGTGATAAAAAATTCTTTGATCAGAAAAATCACACGGGCTCATTTCAAACCTTTATACATATATGTTCACATTTTGTTTTTAAAAAAAGTTTTTCTGTATTCAGTTTAAGGCGAGAATTGGGATTAAAAAAACAGAAGAATCATCAATTATTCGTTCCATGTGGAACATCAACATTAAAACACATTTACATACGGTTAATATTAATATCACCGGTAGTTAGAATTGTCCCACAATTTAAAAGCAATCTTTGTTCTCCATTGTTCTAACTTTTTTGACATTTTGTAAAAGAAGGATAAGAATATCTATATCCGATTCAGTAAAAATGTTTATTATGTGAATTTGTGCACCTGTTAAACTAACAATAGTATCAAGATTATATGTAACTTGCTTGATTTTATTCCTACTTAGCAAGAGTTAGAAAAAAGAATAGCATCTTTTGAAGTATTAATTGAACCTAATGAAAAAAACGGTTTAGATGAAACTCTTTAAATAATGTATAAATATTTCTCTTGATACCAGGAAGATTTCATCTCCGATCTTTTTTTCGAATTCTTCAATATAACAATACAATGTAAAATTTCTTTCTGTCCAGTTTTTTTAGCCTTGTCAAATAAATGAACCAAATGTCGTCTAGTACATTCTCAGGAATTTGTTTATAGGTATAGAATTTGAAACGCTTTTCTCGTTGATAACTTATGCATTAAACCTTGTTCTAATTTTTGATTATAGGAATTTTTATTTTGGAAAAAATGACACTTTGTGTCAAATTAATATTAATAGACGCTTCTGAAATATTCTGATTCTCGTTCTGATTGATAAGCATTTGCTCAATAGAAGGTGTATCCTGAGAAGTTAAGAGAGCCTCTTGAGTTCGAACCTTCTTTTCCTGTTTCTCAGGAATGCAAAGGATCTTTCATAGAAAGTGCAATCTGTACATTAGTAACACCTTGATTCTGCTTATTGATTTTCTCAACAACAACTTGTTTGACTTTGTATTTCGATCCTAAGTCCAGCAATTTCTTCCATGATCTGTTTTAATTAAGTATTTTCATCAAGTCTAGCAACTCGCTGTCTCAACAAACCAATAATTTTTACATAGGTGATGAAATTCTTGATAAAAAACAACAGTTGAAAAATCGGGAGTTCAATAACAATAGAGGCAAGTCTATCTAGAACCTTGAATTGGTTATAATAAATTTATTATTATTATTATTTTTAATAAATTCTTCTTGAAGCAATTAATTACTTTGTTCTGAAACTAATTCATTATTTAAAGCCCCGAATCAAAGGATCTGAAAATAATGAGGATGGATAATAATGTATAACTGAATTTGAAATCAATACCTTAAAGATTCGATTAACAGAATGAAACAAGGAAAAATGAGCTCTCAATTAAAAAAATGAACCAAAGATCCACTGTATGTAAAAAGAGCATTCATACTATATTCAATATTTTTCTTGAGAAAAATTAAAGAAATTCGAGATAACATACAAGCAAGAAAAACAATTGAGTAAAATTAAGCATTTAATAGGGACACGAAAACAAAAAAATTTTAGATTTGCAAAAAAAAAATACCACAAAAAGAAACTAAAAAAAATAAATATTAAAAATTAAAATGTCCTTCGTTAGGTTATTAACACAAGACAGAAGAGAATTAGTACGTAAAATTTATAATGAAATGGAGAGTATTGCTCGTTCTGCTTTTCCGAATATTTCTGATAGAGAAAATTATAAAAGTTATTTTTTACAATTAGTCAATGAAAACCAAAAACTATTAGAAAATGAAAAGGAATATTGTAGAGAAAGGTTTATTTATGGGTTTGAATTAAATAATGCAATTTATAAATATGGTGAACCAAGAGAATGCAATAATTGTAAAACAACAAGATACTCTGATAAATATTGTGAAAAGTGT